AAAGAGCCTCTGGGATTTTATTAAAGAAAAGTATCCCTTTTCCCAAAACAAATATAAAACTATTTGTATAATTTATGTCAATAAGATGTGGATAAATAAAAGCTTATTATTAATACTATGTACTAGATTTAATAGCCTATGTAACCGAAGTTCACTAAATTAGCCGAACATATTCCCCAGCCAACGCTTGTTTTTAATCTTCAAGCGGAAACGTAGCCGTCCAAAACAAACCTACAGAAGGCGAAGAGAGCCGGAAAGACTTGAAAAGATAAACGAGGCCACCAAGCGCGATGAAGAATCACTGTGGGCAGGATCTGCACCATCCCGGGTTCATTAAATTTATATTTATAAAGGATTTTGTAGTTTTTTTTTTGGGGTGGACATCCCTTATCACTTTGATTATTTGAAATATAGATAGTAGACGATTCTCAGACATTCTGAATATGCAAAATTCATAAGAATCGGTTGAGCCTTTTCGGAGGAGTATGGACACTAACATTGTGACACGAGAATTTAATATATATATATATATATATATAGATTATTATATATTTGATTAATATGATAGTAATGTCATATATTATGAATATTAATAAGATTAAACGGGTATTCTAAGCTACCAAGGCAACCACCGCGCTGCAGGGGTAAACTAACAAATAACTTTTTGAATAATTTAAATACGTAGTTGGTCCCAAAGTTCTGTCAATGGCACATTATTTTTAAATTACGAACATGATTTTATAAAAAAATTATTGCATTCTATTTTTGATTGTTTGACTATTGTTTTAAAACAAAAAACAATCACTTTCCGTAAATTTTCAAGATGGAGTGGACATTGAAAGAAAACCGAATAGCTGTTATTGCGTTGCACCGCTGTGGGCACTCGGCGAGTACCATTTTCAAGTTGCTCAAAAATTTAAATATAACGCTTAGGTTTGTGTACCGTACTCTTGATAGGTACAATGAAGTCTCCAGTGTTGAGGACAAGAAAAGAACTGGCCGGCCACGCTCCGCAAGGACACCAGCAGTGATCAAAGCTATCAAGGCGCGGATAGCAAGAAATCCTGTCCGAAAACAGAAGTTGATGGCTTTGCAGATGGGTGTCAGAAGATCTTGGTCTACGGGCATACAAAAGAAAGAGTGGGCACCTACTTAATGCTCGTCTAAAAGCAATAAGGCTTAAGAGATCGCGGGGTTTGTTAAAGCGGTACGCGAAAAACCGACACCGTGATATCCTCTTTACGGACGAAAAATTTTTCGATATTGAAGAGAAGTACAATAAACAGAATGATAGAGTGTACGCTAGGAGTTCTGAAGAAGCTGGAAATAAAGTTCCGAGGGTGCAACATGGACATCATCCATCATCAGTAATGGTCTGGTTGGGAGTGTCCTATTACGGGCCAACTGAGGTTCATTTTTGCGAAAAGGGGGTCAAAACCAGTGCAAAAGTGTATCAAGACACGGTTTTGGACCAGCTTGTCAAAGACCTGCCCAGCACGCTATTTTCGGGACATCACTTTGTGTTCCAACAGGACTCTGCGCCTGCACACAAAGCCAAGACCACTCAAACCTGGTTTGAGCGTCAAAACATCGACTTAATTAGACATGAGGATTGGCCTTCCTCCAGTCCAGACCTTAATCCTTTGGACTATAAAATTTGGCAGGTCTTAGAGAGGAAGGTCTGTGATAAACCCCATAAAAATTTGGAGTGTCTGAAGTCATCTTTAAAAAAAGCAGTCACTGAAATCGACATGAATATGGTGCGTGCTGCGATAGACGACTGGCCGCGGCGCTTAAGGGCCTGTATTAAAAATAAGGGAGGTCATTTCGAATAATTTTATGCTATTTCTATTTCTTAATTTATGTACTATTAATTGATATATCACTCATTAAAAACTGATCAGTACTTTAGTTTTTATCATTATTTCTATTTATGACAGAACTTTGGGACCGACTACGTATAGAAAGGGCCATCCGGGCCAATATTACCGATATCAGATATTCTGTTAATGAAGTGCAATGTGGAACGTGTGACGTCATGTGCGAGCGAGATGGATGATATGACGTCATACACGGTAGCGCTATTTATCCTAATAACGGATTTATTGCGTAAAGGTTTATGGCGTCATAGGATAATGATGATTTATATTTGGATCATATATTTCGGTGCGATAATCTACCTATTTTTTTAGCTTCGATATTATATCTATATTGTATATATTACTTACAAAAAGCTTACAAAGGACGAACTTATCTTAGTAGCGATCTTATACAGGCAAAGGTTTTTTAATAATAATATTAATTTATTGCAAGAATATGGTACAAAAATGTACGGTGTAAATGTAAGGTGGTACAATCGTAAGTTCGCATATTCTGCCACACACAATTGCGCGCAAATTTGTCTTTAGAGGAATTTTACAGGCAATGGGCGGGGCACATTACCCGAACAACAGATTGGGCAAAGTCCTGGAATGGAGACCGAGAACCAGACGGCTGAGCGTTGGACGGCAGATGACCTGGTGAGGGTGGAGGAAAGGCGATGAAAAGCGCGGGGACCTACTAGAAATTTAAGAAAAAGGTCTATTATATGTCCAGCAGTGATCGTTGACATGCTGAAACGACGATTCCAAGTTTACGATATTGAGAAAACTTTTTTTTTAAATGAGGTGAAAACGCGCTTACGCAGGCCCGCGCCAAGGATATTGAGCTTGACGCGGGGACTGTGGGGCTGGGTCTACACTCAAATCCCTCTGCTATTCACAGGGGTAGCGAGACCCCACCCACTACAAAAAACACCTCAGCCCTTCACACGCCCTTAAGATGGGCCCTCGGGGTTCGCCAGGCATTCTACCCAGGGGGCCCGGGGCTATTGAGAAAACTAGACTCAGACTTGAGGTATTAACTGAAGAGAGAGACAATGTATTTTGGTATCGAAAATAAAATTTACAAAATTAGTTAGGTGTTCTAGGGAAAGCTAAGTCTAGCTTCGAAGATTCATGGTCTGGCAGAGCGGTTGCGGAGCTAGGGAAAAGCACTCTGGATGGAGATAGGAGGTCTAGGAGTAGAACAGAAACCGGTGGAAACAGATTGTCTGCTCCAGATGTTTCCTTGCAGACCAAGACGTTCAGACATGAGCTGTCGACTGAAGATAGAGAAACTAAAATATTGTGACATTTAAACAAATATGATTTCTCACAGCACTAACCCCTAAAGTATTAACTTAGTAACACTATAGCGCAATTTCAAATTGTATTTTCAATTTAAACTTTTCTCATTTTAGTTCTAAACCGATTTCTGTACCGCGGACAACTTTTACTTTAAATTTGATTTTCCATGACTTTTAATTGATTAATATAGTAAGTTTTCATACTTAAATAAGAGGACATTCGGAAATAACCTAAATCATTAAAGTTTTTTTTACAGAACTAGACAGATATTTAGCCACAATCCCACCTGATGTCAAGTGAGAAGCAGCCTGAGAGCACAACTGTCCAGGAGAAGTCTATTTAGCCACCGCATGCTCTTTAAGAAGGGTTGAAGGGGACAAAGAGTTCCACTCCTTTGCTGTTTTTACAAGAAACGAAGATCCAAATCGTGTTGTGCACTGGATGTTAACATGGAAGGAGTGACTCCAGCGTGCTCCTAGACGAGCGTAGTTTGAAAGGGGATGACGGAATCAGGTTATGTAGTTGCAATGAGCATTCTACGGAGTGAAATTTATAGAAGGTTGAACGGCAGGCAACTAAACGGCGAAGATCAAGACAGAGTGAAGATTTAAATGGTGAATCTCTATGCTCGCCTCTCAATAGCATCCACATCAAATGACATTTCCCAGCACTGGCCCAAAGATAAGCAGGCCTCCACAAACGGTCGGACTCGAGCTAGATAAAAATTTAGAAGCTGTTACGGTGTGAAGAGATGTCGGATTTTTGCCAAAATACCGAGTTGTTTGGATGACACCAGGGCCTTAGAATGAATGAAACGCCCAAAGCTGAAACCAGCCGACAGCTGGGACTGAATCCACAATTCATCAGACCGGCCTGGGTTCTGTTTGTGTGTGTCCTAAGTCCTTTGAGGTCAAATTTAATCCGATCTTTCCTTTAACAATTCTGTGATCCAGAAAGCATCGGGTTACCCTAATGATGACAGCTTGCTAAGAGGCTTACGTAACAAACTTTATCAAAGACCTTAGAAATGTCGAGGGATACAGTGCTTCACAATATTCATTTCTTTGTCAAATATATTATTTGAAAAATATAATTTATATATGTACGTAAAACTTATTATGCCCTAAGGGCACAACTAAAACCGACTTAGAGAACTAACTCCTATATGTCGAAATTTGACTTTGACGTACACGAGTCAGACTTAGCGCTGCGTTTCCTGACTATCACCCTTACGAATTTACATTTACTAGTTCTCCAACCAAGAGCGTAGAACAGACGAGAGAAACCTCCATTCGATTCAATCAACTGATAATTTAGATAATTAACACCCGAGTGTAAACCGTCAACAAAGTTTTAAATTAACAAATATATTTCTTACATTTTTAAGATAACCTAAAATTCTTGTGATTATAACAAAATTCCTGCGAACCAGCTTGAGCGATTTTTATGATATTTTGCATATTTGGAGTATCTGAGAATACTCAGCCGTATACTATTTACACGTTCTTATTTAAAAAAATATATGATTTGGCACTAAACGTACATAAAACCCTTAATTTTTAGTTTTCAACCACCACATAGTACCACTAAAGAAAGCCTTCTGTCTTCTATTGCAGGTTACAAAGATAATATATTTGAAACTGAAATTATATTGTACGGCTAAAAAAGCTTTGTAGTCAAAATCCTTTTTTACTATACTTCGCGTTTTCACGGCGTGCCTGCATTTTTATTGGCTAAAACCATCTTGATTTTAAATTTCTAACTTTATAAATTTCCTAGCTAAGCTTAAGGCGTGGTCTGGACACACGTAGGAATAAAGCTATAATGACTCACCCCATCCGGGTTCTGTTTCCGAACTTCACACAGCTCGTTGAGCACATCTTGCAATTTTCTATTTGAATCTGAAAAACAATACGAACATTACCACAACAAATTTATACATTACGTATTACCTATTTTACACAACAAAGAAATTGTCACATTTAGATCGATTAATTATAAAAATCCGCACAATCATATAAAAATATTAATTAAAAATATAATTTCATATAATAAGAACATTAACATTGTGTAAAACAAAAAACTTGGCGATTAAAAAGAGTGGCGGAGAGTTTGCCAATTCTTCTCTTCCGTTCTACGCCCTTGAATTGAGTACTGGCAGTAAATGCAAAATTAGAAGCATTTAATATATATTTTATATTTGACGTTCATAAGTATACATTGTTTTACCTATATGAATTTTGTCATAATAATAAGTTAAGTTATTTATAATTGATATCAAACTTATGGTCTAAATAGACTATAAGATACAAGTATACACACTTATTATACTTTCTTATCTAAAGCATCGATCTGTCTCCTTACATCACAGCGTAAACACTTTGACGATAAATACAAACGAGTATTTTTCGTACGGAAAAAGCGAAGTTGGAGCTTTTTCTAAGCTAAAGTAAGTTATGACATAATTATTTATTTCTAAACTCAGTTTTATTTATAAACCATGAACTGGACAGTATTAGTACAAAGTTTGCATACATAAGCTTGAAATATGTTTTGTGCACAATAAATAATAATAATAATTAGGTAAATAAAGTTGAAAATGTTTTTGCTTAGCCTACCCTTTTAGTAGCTACATACCAACATATGGAACAATTTTCTATGCTACCCCATGAAAACTATTCGCTTTTCCGGAATAAAAACCTGAGTACTACAACTAAATTTTTTTTTAAATTTTACAAAAGTTCTCTCCATAAAAACCTTCCTCAGAGTCCAAAGAAGAACTAAAAACTGCTCAAATTGATACCTTCGTCGAGTTTTCCGCTTAATTCTCTCCAGGAGTAGGAAAATATCACACAAGCTTTTGCGAAATAGCAGATGAGTCGATACTCCATAACGTGTTGGTAATAAAACAATACAATTAGCTAATAGTCGTCCCCTTCAAGTACCATTTATGCCCGCGACTTTGTCCGCTTAGTTCTTCGGAGCTAACACGTTTTATCATAATATAAAGATTATAAACTGTTTCTGTCACAATGGAAATAATATAAAAAAAAAGTCCTTGTGTTTTATGATACCATTTCATTTTAGACTAAGGAATCAAACGTATCATATTTTAAAACTAATCTACTCTAGTTCTAATAAAAATCATTAGCCGTCTATTACTAGAATAAAAGAATACATTAGTTCTTACAATCATAATCTACATAGTAATACTAAAAATAATTAAACATGAATAAAAAGAAAATAAAACAAATTTAAAAAGTTTGGTCCCTGTGGCAGTGTAAACCTTAAACGCTGGTTTCGGACAGGATTTCTTACTATCCGCGCCTTGATAGCTTTGATTACTGCTGGTGCCCCGCGGAGCGTGGCCAGCCACTTCTTTTCTTGTCCTCAACACTGGAGACTTCAAGGTCCTATCAAAAACACCCCCCCCCAACCCCAACCTTTTTATCCATTTTTTGAGCAACTTGAAAAAGTCTCCCGGCGAGCGCCCACAGCGGTGCAACGCCATACAACTATTCGGTTTACTTTCAATGTCCACTCCATCGTGAAAAATTACGGAAAGTTATTGTTTTTGTTTTAAAACAAAAACAAAACACCCAAAATAGAAAGCAATAAATTTTTTATAAAATCCTTTGCTCGAAATGTAGAAATAATGTGCGGACAAAACTTTAGGACCAACTACGTAAAGATTATAAACTGTTTCTGTCACTTTAAAAAATCCTTGGTTTTTGATACCATTTCATTTTAGACTGGAATCAAACGTATCATATTTTAAAACTAATCTACTCTAGTTCTAATAAAAATCATTAGCCGTCTATTACTAGAATAAAAGAATACATTAGTTCTTACAATCATAATCTACATAGTAATACTAAAAATAATTAAACATGAATAAAAAGAAAATAAAACAAATTTAAAAAGTTTGGTCCCTGTGGCAGTGTACCTTAAACGCTGGTAGCATTTCCTCGCTGTATTGCGATACTTATTCGTTGAGCGAGGAAAGCACCATCTTATTTACACCGGTACTATCTACCAGGCACCAACTAAAATCTTTACTTAGCACATGTGCACTTGACCTTTTTTTAGTACTACAACGATATTTTTAGCTTGATGTCCTTTGCACATCAATGAAACAATTCCAGAGTTGGCAAAACCCTGGAATTATTACCGGTAGACGAACTCGGAACGTGTATTCGTGTGTATTTTGGGAGGCAAGTCTCCTTATCTTTCTCTTTTACTCGAACTAATAATCTAAAAACAATAGTATAAAATAATTGTTATAAGAACAGACGCAACGCAACCTTTGATTGTTGTTCCCAAGAGAATGTAA